TATTACAATGTTTGTGTTTCAGGACATTAATGGAGCCAAAGATTATTTTAAGCGTAAAGTCAGTGTTGTTGAGGAGCACATTGAGAAGCTTATGCAACTGTCTATGGAGAAAAATTAACTAAGTAAAAGTATATGTGCATTTTTTGTAGGTTTTCTGATTTATCAGTCACTGTATGTGAGGGTTCTCAAAATTACTTATTTTACATCTTATAATGATATTTACATCCCTATGTACCTCTTCCATAATCCTAATTGCATCCTTGAGCCCTTTGTAGAAACCTTACCGTGAGTTCTATGTACAGTTATATACAGTTAAAGACTGAATGTCTTCTAAAATATATCTATAAATTCAGTCCGTACCTCACAGGAAACACATTACGTATCCATAACGAAGCCCAACCGGTTAATGTTGTTTAGGGAAGCAATCGCTGTTTATTGTGAGAACCACAAGGCACACATAAATACACTGTGTGGGCAGAATGCAGAGTTTTAATGTGTTAAAACGGGTGGTATGTATATTAACCACTAGGTTTCATACATACAGATTATTTTGCCACTTGCAGATCTCATAGTGTTTTCAAGTCTCTCACATTAAAGGAAAGAAGTCTGGGTAGCTCGGTCAGTATAGTTACTAGGCTGTAGGATGGACAATTGAGGGCTTAGGGGTCAATTCTTGGCAGGGGCAAGACATTATTGTCCGCTCCACAAGATCGAGACGAGCCCTGAGGCTCATCCAGCCGCTTATTCCATGGAAATTGAAGACTCTTCCTCGGCGGTAAAGCTGCTGGGGCAAGAAACTGACCACTCACGTCCATGTAATGCTGAGATTAAAAATATGTGGAGCTATTTCTCCACATCCCAGACGTCTTTGTGGCGTTGTTCTTATATTTATCTTTATACACAATGGATGTTTCGTATCGTTGTCGTGTTAATAATTATTCACCTCTGTCTGGTGCAGAGAATAAGAATTTCTGGAGCTATACATTCACTCCCCCCATATACTCGTACATTTCTGGGCGTGTAAAAAATTAAGCTCAGTAATAACCTTTACTTTACATTTATAACTATCTCACAACTAACTAACTGACTCCATGGAACTTAGCCCTCCTTGAAAAACCAAGAGTTGCTCAGCTGCTAAAGAACTCCATAATTTTATGTAACCTGAAGGTTCATTGCCGTTTTCACAGGAGACCGTCACTGAAACATATCCTGAGCCAGATTAATACAGTCCACACACAACTCAACCTTTCTAAGATCCATCTTAATGTTATCTTCTCATCTACGTGTGGGTCTTTATAATCAAAATTTCACAGCATAGGGGCACTGTGGTTATATAAAGCTATATATTAGTACTTACATTATTGAGTTTCAACTTTGTTTTCATCTTGTCTTGCTTGTAATGGCCGGAAAGTTGGTACAACACAGCTCTGCTGCGTCGGCGTCCATAGTTCGTAGGGGGTGCCTCAGGATCCAGGTTGCCATTGGCGTCTGAAACACACCGACGTAGAGAAGAGCGTCCCTTCAAGTCTATGACCAGCAGTGTTTCAGAAGCACAATTAAGACAGAGATGACAAACCATATTCAACAGAGACTGAAAAGGGGCAGTGTTCTACAATAACACTTCGCTTTAAAGGTTTAATTCAACAAAACACACGAAGTTAAGCAGAACGTTGCAGATGTTACGCAACAGGGGATAGGCCGACGACAGGAAAGCAGATTTAGTAACCGGGATGTTCACAGCAAACTGAACTATACGAGTTGTCTGATAAGGCCCAGCAACTGTGACTTTCAGTGATTCATTCATGTCCTTTCTCTTGACAGATCACGCCTCCTTCGAAATGTGTAGGGACTTGACTCAACAAATGCGAGGCTGGTAGCACAAGTTAGAAGCACGGCCATTTGTTCCGTAACGGCCACTGTGTCCAGTGTACTATTATGGGATGAGAACAGGCGGCCTGTCGAAGTAAACGCCGTTCTACACTCTCCAATTGATTCACTGGTTAGAACAGTTCCAGTACCCAATAAATAAAAGACGTTAAAAACTTCTTGAATGGGCAGTAATTTCCGTGGAGTCCAAACAAATTAAACGCCAAGAAGCACCACAAAACTGCCTGCCAGAAATGTCAAGCTTGCTTGAAAAGAAAAGAAATTGCTCACATAATCCTGCTAACCTGTTCCTCAAATTATTGTATGGGGTTTGCATGACGAGTAATAATTGGTTCTGGATTAGATGACTGGATTTATTGGCACTTCTTCACAATTAAAATCAATTGTGACAGGTCACAGACCGCTTCTGTGGTCTAGTGGTCAGAGTTCCTGGCTACAGACCCAGAGGTTCCGGGTTCGATTCCCGACGATGCCAGATTTTCTGAGAAGTAATGGGTCTGGAACGGGGTCCACTCAGCCGCGTGAGGATAACTGAGAAGCTATTTCAAGGAAATAACGGCTCCGGTCTAGAAAACCAAGATTGCCCTGACCACGTGAGACTGTCTGTTGACAAAAATGTTATACTCGGTGATTAAAAATGAGCCGATATCTTCGGCTGTGACGCTTATAATGCAAGTATCTGGCACTGAGCTAGTCTGTACGTTGCGTGCACAAGGTTAAGGGATTAGGTTGCATCACACTACGAAGTTAAGCGATCAGATAACAAGCAAGCAAAGAAAGGAGGAGTCAATAAGCAATACAAGAAACTCACACCAAACTGTCTAAAGTAAGCCACAGAGATTGACTTTGTCCTGGCTGTTCAGTTGCAGTGGGAGGTAATTTTCTTAAAGAGAACCGCACTAAACTGGGACTACAGATCTCCCCTCATGACATTGCCAACATGTATTTTTACATTAATATTTTTGACTGAAATTTCGTCTGCTTTTCGCAAGTTCCGAACTTTTGAATCATCTTCGATTTGATCACCATAATTAGTAAAATCTTGGTGAAATACAGAAATTAGCAAGTCATACATTTTAGAATGTGCCTCACCTTACTTCTGCTTTATCTCAGCTCGGTCCCATCATTCACAGCGGGACGAATCTGGGCCCTCAACATGATTACTTTAGTCTGTACCCTCACTCGTAAGATGCCACGAGTGTTTCACATATTATTTGGAGAATCCCAAAATGCAATGTTAAATTTCATTATGATCACAACATTCTATTCTCGAAATTCATAGCATTACTTATCTCTCATAGGATCCTAATATTTCTACTACAGTTCAGTTAGAAAATCCCTTGTTGAGTATGTGACATTTGCTTAGCTAGTCAAGAAATTTGAAACATTTTATGGAACCTGAATGTCCATCGCCGTGTTAACAACAGTCCACTTTTAATTCTAATTCTAATCCAGTCAAAATCATCCTATCCTCTTTCATTCAGATCTATTTTAATACTCGTATTATCAAGAAGCAAGTTGGCTCAAGATGTAACAATTTTAAGTTGTATTCGAGAGTATCCTCTTTCGAACTTCGGCCGGGACCCTTACTATCTTCGCTGAGATAGTTTATGGTTTTTCTCAGAGAATCCAGGCGAATGTCGGATAGTGTCTCGTTTAGAGCACCACCGCTTCCTTCCAAATTCTCTCTAATTCATCATTCATCCATCAACCTATCAATAGATGTATATAAATAACATCTAAGAGTTTGTGACGATGGTACATTGTTACAATTATGTTTCTGGACATTATCCATTGTTCTGCTTTTATCTAAGGCACCGTCCTCTTTGTATTTCGGATAGTCAATTCTGTCTCCGTCTTCAGGCAAAACCTACTAGAAATTGAACCCAGCTGGTAGGTTCCACCTGAAGACGGAGACAAAATCCAGCCTCCGAAACGATGTGTTTTAAATAAAAACAGGATGATATTTTAGTTAAAATCAATAAGATGGATAACGTCCAGAAACATAATATTTGTAGACGGTATAGAGTCTAGCTATTGACAGCTTCCTTAAATACAGGGTGTTTCACAACTTTAGGGCATAACTGCAGGATGTGATTTCCTAGATTTTGTGATCAAAAAAGTTCATATAAATATGTGCCCCATTTTGGACGGTTACGGAGTTATGACCGTTTTAAACTCAGAATAGAAGGTAACGATTACTGACAATAAACGGAACAAAATAATAAACCAGCATAACACATGATACATTTAAAGTATGAATGTAAAGTTAACTTCGTGAAATTACCTTTAATTTGAATTTATTGGTGCTTAAAGCTGATTTTCGAAAATGCCACCGCCGGCCACAACACAGGCCGCCGCTCGGTTGTGAACCGCGCGGGTAGCACGTAGCAGCTTCAGCTGGCTGTTTCTGATGTGGTCAGCGGCGTCCAGAATGAGACCGAGCAAAGCACCTCGCGTTGCCACCTTCACATTTTAAACCAGTTCTTTCATCCGTCCCCACACACACAATAATCCAGTGGACTTAAGTCTGGAGACCTGGCTGGCAATTCTTCGCGTACTCGTACGTGGACTGCGGTGTACCATACGAACAATGCCTTCTTTATTGACGCCTTCATTAACACCACGCTCGGCTACAATACGAACGCCGGGAAGTCTACCGGTATCTCGCAATGCCTGGTAAACTCCAGTAAACACTCTCCGGTTCGGTATTCTACTATTTGGAAACGTTGCTGATATTCAACTACGGCAAGAAATGAGTTACCGTCACAAAACCCGTACACGTAAATCATATCTGCATACTCCTCAAATGAAAATGTAAAGGGCATCGTGAACTTAACAAACGCACCGAGATGAGAACTGTTCTGAACACCAGTAACCGCCACACTAGCCGTGGCCTTACATACCAACCCACCACGCCTTAGGTACCTCTCAAGTGTCGAGATGACGAGAACGCTCTGTCTGTAGCTGGCTAAAAATAGCGACCCGCCAAATGATAGACGCGTTTCACACGAGGGTGTGTAGGGGGAATGAAAAAAAAAAAGGTCGTAACTGCGTAACCGTCCACATTCGGACACACATTTATATGAACTTTTTTGGTCACAAAGACCTAGGGAATCACCTCCTTCAGTTATGCCCTAAAGTGAAACACCCTGTATATTCCCATCTCTGAATAGGGCTCCCGAATGGTATCTTTCTTTCAGTTGTCCAAAAATAATATATACACCTCCAATTTTTCAAATTATGCTTCATGCCCAACCAAAGTCAATTTCCTTGGTTTGTTCAAGCATATGCTATATCGAGGAGTACAAATTATGAAGCTGTTCATTATGTAATTTTCTCAAGTTTCTGTCACTTCCTGTCTCTGAGGACCAAATATTTTCCTCAATATCTTGATGCACTTTAATTACTTTCGGTTAGTATACAATACTGCGGGGGGGGGGAAGTTGTACAATCCGTGCATGAGGGCGCTAAGTACAAGCAACACGGAAAAGCCACTGAAAAGGGGAAAACCCTCTGCCCCGACTCACCACTGTCGTACAACTCACATATCTGCAACTCCGCCATCTTTGTGTGTGTGATGTCTTTGTGAGAGGCAAGGAAGAGTACAACCTCTCGCTTCTCATTCTTGATGGGAACGATGTCGAGCAGGCACCAGAACGGCGTTCCTACAACACAAACAACAGCACTGAGAAGCAACAACTAACGTTAAAATCCACCCACTCCACGAATCCTGCTACGTCACACATTTTGCAGACAACTTTACGGAAGTGAAGTCTGAATATCCCACCGCTACATCCCTCATCTAGCGTCAAGGATAAGAACGTGATTACTTATACCTTCAATCACTCATACGCCTCTATGATTTGGTGCGCAGCGAGGCACCAAGCAATTTGGTTAAAGATATGGCTCTAGAAATAAATTTAGGAGGTACTCGGTTCGAATCTCGACAGCGATACAAGTCATTCTGAGATTTTCGTGGAATGACTCTGTCCCTCTAGACAAATACAGAGAAAGCACCTAGAACAGGCCACGACCTCTTCCTTCCACATCAATTCTTGATCATCATTCATCAGCCACCCTACCATCGGAGAGGAAGTTACTATCAGCGCCGTACAATAACTCATAAAATAAATAATCAAGCACAGGGACAAATTTACGAACGTAAGGACGCTGCAGTGACCCCATGTGTGTAACGATGGTAGCATTTTCCACGTTTATAGGATTTCCATTGCCACGTGTATAAATTGGCTCTGACTGTCTTTAGGAGCAATAAACAGACATTTCTAAATGAAGGTCCAATTATGTGTTTCAGCTGGCTCTCAGGAAAAAAGCTGTTATTTTTACATCCACTGTAACAATTTAAAGCACGCTTTTACCACTCTAAAGTTAAAAGCTCTGCACTTTACCCACAGTGTATTTATGTGTTCCATATGATTCTCACAATGAACAGCGATTGCTTCCCTAAACAGAATTAACCGGTTGGGCTTTGTAGCGGAGACGTAATGGGTTTCCTGTGTGATACGAACTAATTCTTTGAGGAGTTAGCAAGAGAGATTTTAAAAATGGGCCTATTAGCTTCCCCCTGAAATTTTACCATATGCGTACTTAGGGATGATATATTTTAATACTATTCACAGCCAAAAATCTGTATATATAATTACACCTGTACCGACTTCGCTACATTTCCAGCCCATTGCGTCCTCTTTCATTCTGTTTCCATATAACAATCGTTGAAGACTATATATTATTTTCTCATTTTATGGAATCCAGCGAAGTATCTTAAAGCTTAAATTGTCTAATACCTGTGAGATATGGGTTGGCATTTCGCAATCTATGGGGCCAAATGTTCTCCGCGAACATTCTGTGGGTGTTCCGTGGAGGCTTGTGTTAAGTTCAGTTCCTTTTCATGGCTTCTTATGATTTTTTTATTTTTAACAAATCTTCTTCTTAATATTGTTAATTTTTTCATTATTTTTATAAAACTCTTTCAGTGTCCTTCAGTAGCTAGTGTATAAACGTTGAAAATATTTCCACGAACAAACTTGAGGAAAAATGCAATCGTCAAATTATCGTCGAACTGGCAGAAATGCGATATATATCAACGTTTTGGAAAATTTGCTGCCGCCGTCGTCTTCGCCTTGATGAGGAAAGTAGAGATTTCTCCGAAACGTCGATTACGTATAGTCACAAGCACAGTCTTTTTAACTCCTCTTCTCTTTGCGACGAATCACATTGTAACGCCCTCAGTCTGCTTTTCGAAATTTGTTTGTGTCATGTCGAGATATTTTGATTCGATCTTAATGTTGAACTTTTAGCTCGCACAGCCACGACTACGAACGGTGAAATCCTCTTTAATCAGCCGCCGTGAACTCTGTTAGGAAGACGTTAAGAAGGAAGACACGGCCTCCACTTTCAAGGTGCAAGTGTAAAACCCAGCAACCGACAAGACGCCCACAGCAAATACAGACTGAATTACATTTTGACCCTGAAGATGGGGGTAATGCATTCCTCCGAACCTCGGAGAACTAACGGACTACATTGTTTTATTTCTCAGAATACTGTACTGTGTATCATTCATATTTAGGTACAGAAGTGCATTACTTTTCTTGATAATTACAAAGAAGAGTCAGTAAATTGGTCACAAATGGAAGTAAAACAGCTGTAATGGGCATTATAAGTTCCATATACGTATCACTAGGTGGCAGCACAATCCAGCTTTATAACAGTGTAGGTAACACATGTTCATGTTCAGAGGCTGGTTTCAGTAGTCAAAATGGCGACGGTGCTTTGGGGTATATTACCGAAGAGGAGCGTTCTGTTGTGGGATTTTGTGGGCCAAAGGGTTTAATGCAAGAAGTATTACGAAAGCAATGTTTCCTGTTTACAGAGGGAAATATTTTTCGCGTAAAGCGGTTCACGTCTGGGGAGCAAACATTTCACTGACGACGAGGTGCGGAAATGGCTATTGTCAAAATAGTTCTAGGCTGCGAGTTTCGACACACTGATACAGCGATGGGACAAGTGTGTCAATGTTGGTGGAGGATATGTAGAGAATTTCTTTTGTTTCGAATATCACATGTTTGACGTTTTATATCCGTTTTGACCTATTTACTGACTCTCCCTCGTAGCAATATTCACACACACTAATAACAATACTACAGGACAGGATCGAACCTGTGTACTGAAACTGTGGTTTCTGGAATGCAGAGCACCTAACCGCAGTATTACGGTGCGCAGACAACCACTGACCCAGAGCAGAATGGAGTGTGGTATGTTGGAAAACTTAACCTGATCAATTATATACATTTATAACTGCGCAAAGGTCAACTGTGAGACCTTTACATAAATTCATGCAGTTCTACAATGCGGACAGTTCATTAAAGAGCATAAGGGGGTGGCAGAGGTGTAGGTTTCAGGAAGCAAAATTGGATATTAGAAGTTATAGAATGCTCCAGAAGCCCCGTCATTTCTTATATAAGTTTTCGTATTGTTAACTTCTCCTGCTTTTTCCCGTATTCCTTTCTAGTTCTGAATGTAACGAATGATACGTCGAGGTCAACTTTTAACGCCATCTCTTATGAATAACTCGCATAAATATTGCTACATAATCCATCTCTTTATATAATACACTGTAATTTATATAACCGTATCAAAATATTGTCACGGATATGGAGTGTGACTCTAGACAGGGTTTAGCGGCTTCCGTAGTCTAGAGGTAACGTTCCCACCTCATGACTGGTAGTACGCGGGTTCAAAAACCCGGCGGAGATCGTGGAATTTTTAAGGGTGGAAAAATTAAGGGAACAAGTCCTCCGGGAGGGACTTTAAGCCGTGGGTCCCGTGTCGTAGATTTAAGGCACGTAAAAGAACCTCATGTCTCTAGGAGACCTCTGAGCAAAATTAGGCAACATTTCCCGCCCAAGTAGTTTCCAATTCCTCCGGTAGATGGGGGAAGTATTAGGTACCACTGCCAGAGGAGGGGGGACCTCTCTGACAGAAAGGGACTAACTATTAGATACCACTGCCAGAGGAGGTTGGAACCTTGCTGGCAGAAAGGGGCTGATAGTAAGCACCAGTACCGGTAGGGTATGGATACAGTAGAAATTAAAGGGAGACGCAAAATGAACCACTAACCGGTCTAAGTGCATGGGGAAACCCACCCCCTCAATACGGAATACGGAATGCGGAATAGACAGGGTTTGAACTGATGACCGGATTTATTGAACACTTTGATACAACGCGTGACTATACCTTACACATACAATAGTGTCCACAGTCATGTCTTCACTGTTGTTGCTTGGCAGCGTTTACCAACGGCAGACGTTCGCCTCCCTCTTGGTTCCCAAACTGTTTCCGGCCTCAGTTACTAAGTTCCAGCAGCAACAGCTCACAAATACTGAACGGCAGCAATACTCTAACTCGATAACTTACCGACCAACCAACTGCTAACTTATCCTGCTTATAAAATCTCGTCACGAACCGCAAAGAAAATATCGCTCCTCTGTCGCAGTTTACGGGCCGCTGCATAGTAACGGTCATTGTACAGTTACTTATTTCGCAGTCGTTGCCTATCAACGGGTCTACATGTCACAATATTATAAATAATCATAAAAACAGATAAGGCACATTGAAACAAGAGACTGCTCCCTCTTTCGTGACCTACGACGTTCCTGTAATTTGATAAAATTTGAAAATCCATTGTTATAATAACGTGAAAGTTTGTAATGAGTGTGATAAATCTCAAACTTGCAA